CTGCTTCTCCCTCTGACCCTCCCCCCTCTCATGCTCTCTGTCTCTCATTCTCTCTGTCTCAAATAAATAAAAATAAAAATCTTAAAAAAAAAGAAAAAAAAATATTGGATATTAAAAATAAATAGTAACACCAAAACTCCAAAAGAAACTGCCAAATTTAACATTAATGAATATTTAATTAAATCACTACAAAATGTGACATTGGGTCCACTTAATCGTTAAATTTAGTATTAAAATAATTATATTACATCAGAAAACAATTTCTAGATTAGATGGTGTAATACTGCAAGAATTCCTGAGTGTGCTTGATTACTGTCTACAAACCATAACCAGTCATAAATCAATTGGATTATTCACAGTCCAATAATTTCTGAAGCAAAATTATAAAAATGCATTCAAATTATATACAGGACTAATTACATTTAATGTGGGATTCCAGGGCATCTTACATGTTTACTATGATGTACGACGGAAGCTTTAAAACAAAGTGGGATCCATGAAGGTTTTAACATAGCCCCGGCAAAACTGCCCCTATTACTTAGACACCAGTTGATCTCAAATAGCATTTGTGTTATTTCCAAAAAAAATGCCTTCCCTAGAAATGAAAGTAGAGTTTGTAATAAGCACACTTTGGTGTATTTTTAAAAGGCTTGTGACTCCCATGTAGCCTTAAGTCATTGATTAGAAACTTCCAGCAACATGACTGACTTGGGGAAATCACAGTATGTCTTTGCTACTACAGAAAAAATATTGTGTATTAGGAAAAAAAAAAAACAAGACAGAGGAAAGATATGTCTCTGAATTTGATTGGTTTTATTTTTTTGATGCTAGATGAAAGTGTTTTCTTTGGTGAAAATGCACTAATCTCCTATTGCTGTATAGATGCGGAGGTTCAGAAGAGTCATTTGTTTTTGCTTTCTGAAAGCAAAGAGAACTCTGATACAATAACAGTGCATGCCTTGGAGATGATCCTGTAACAATACCAAGGACATGATTTTGAAGAGAAATCCAATTCACCTTAAAGGGAAGATGAGAAATGACTGAGAAATGACTATCTTTAAAGCAAACCAAAACAAAACAGTGATAAGTTGTATCCATTAAGAATAAAAAGAAAGAAATATTAAGTCACACAGTCCACTGGGTATTTATTTAATAAAAACTTTAAGATGATCATGAGTTATTACTCTGGAAACATCCCATGATAATATCTTGATAATGGTTTATTCCAAAAAATTAAAATTAGTGTTTCTTTTCTTTTCTTTCTCTCATTCTCTTTCTCTTTCTCTTTCTCTTTCTCTTTCCTTACTCCTTCCCTTCCTGCTCCCCCATTTCTTTTTCTGTTCTTCCTTTTCCCCTCTGATTTTCTTTCTCAATCTACCACCTTTTTCTTATTCCTTCTTATTCTCTTTACACATGATCTTCATGGAAATTTCATAAACAACATCAACTGTTACTTCTAGGATGATGATTGATAGAGTTTACAAAGCAAAAGGTTTTGGATGTAGGAATAACAGGTGCCTTTTAGTACATCATTAATCCCTTAATGGAATGGAATGAATTTTCTTGGGGGAAGAGAGTTCTACCTTAGGTCTTTTTTGAGGCACATGTCCATTGTTTTTGACCCCCCCAAAAAAACCTTGGCAATTTTTATATTAGCAAAATTCAGGATGAGAACTTAATGGTTTTAGTGTCTTGGCTCCTAAGCTTCCCTGTTTAAGGCTCAAAGCACAGTGTATTTCCAAGGTTGAGTGAGCTGGACAATTTAACATCTATGTCACAGCCCGAAAGAATCTCTGTGAGGCTTGGCTATAATCAGAATCTTTTCTAGGATTTTTGGGACTTCTTTAGATAATTCTTTTGGTCAAAGGAACCTTGGCAGATGCAACGTCATAAAGACTTGTTTCACCAACTTAGTCGCATAAATACCATAATAAATTTGAAATGGGTTTAAGGACCATGTAAAACTGAAAGAAGAGGCAAAATGAGTGAGAGAGAGATCAACCCAAACCTCACAATTTTAAAAATTATATTAAAAAATTGTTTAAAAACATGACAGTATTAAGCAGCAATGTTATGCAGTGTGTGTGTGTGTGTGTGTGTGTGTTTGCCTGTGTAAGCATGTGTCCATAATGAACTTATGGTCATAGTGTTAGTCTGCTGCTGTAGGGAGAATTATAACCCATAGGGGTGATGTTGGGATCACCTCAACTTTAGAGCTAGCCCACAGGGTAGTTGGCTAGTAGCTTAAACTGCTGTGTGTAATGGGGATTTAACGACTTATATTGCCGTGCCCAAGGGGGCTTGATGAGCTGGGACATGCTCTAGAGTGATGTCCAGTGGGGGTAAGGCAAGGCCTTTCCAGGGCATGATGAAATGGGGAGTTTGCGTGGATTTTGGTACATCTCAGTCTGTTCATTAGAGATATAAGTGTCTATGTTTGAAAGAGGCTGGTTAAGCCAAAATTTGACTGGACACCTAGCAGGAGAAATTAATCCCTAGGTACATTGGATAATGTAAAAGGCCTTCAGTTGTGTCACTCATCAGATAATCTCTTTAACATAAACTTGAAAAGGACCTAAAGTAAAGAAATAGTATTTGCCATCCTTTCCTAAGAAAAAATACTGACTTTTCTGACTCCATGTGACTAAATGTGCTACCACAGTAAAAGGATATATGGAAACATCGGCCTCATTATAAAAGCATGTCAAACCAGGATTCTGATGGATGCTTTACCTGTTATTTTATATAAGAAAAGATGATTTGCTAAGGTATGCAAGGATTTATGCTTCCTGGGGAATGAGCTTAATTTCTAAGTTACAGTGATAGTTTATGTCATTGTATGATACTATTATATTTAAACACCTTTCAAGAGTGGGTGAGTAGGGATGCCTGGCTGGCTCAGTCGGTGGAGCATGTGACTCTTGATCTCAGGGTCATGAGTTCAAGCCCCACACTGGGTGTGGAGCTACCTAAAAAATAAATGAATAAATAAATAAATAAAATAAATAAATAAATAAATAAATAAATAAATAAATAAATAAATAAATAAATAAAGTGGGTGAGTAGATACTAAAATCATCTGCATAAAACTAAGGAAAGGAGAGTTTCCAAACCTCTTGCCTCCTCTGAAATGGACCCTAGAAGGTCACAGACCTTTGATTGAGAATTACTGCCTTCATAAGTAGGAGAGCTAGGCTTTGAACCCAGGCCTTAAAATATATTCTACGTTACTTTCATTGACTTCGTTTATTTTTAGGAGTTGCATTGACCTTTTCTAGGTTAAATTGAGTGTCTTCAGCGGAAGAAAAGTACATATTAATTGTACACTGACTATGTGGTCCCCGCCAACATAAATGCTCAAAGCCACAGCAAACACTGTGTAAGTGGTAAGGTAGTCTTGGAAGAGAATCAGGACGCTTGACGGTGGGAGGGACTCGCTTGTCTTCTGAAATGGGTAAGACTTAGTCTGGTGAAAGTCCACACAAGGGCACGCCCTGAGGTGAAGAACAGAAGCAGGACTGAATGCAGAAACTGAGAGAGGAGACAGTTGCATGTTTTTTTGGAGAGCAGAACAGTGGAAACAGAGTGGATCTGATCAGATGAAGCTAGATCACAGAAGTCCTCTGAAGATTAGTCAAGTGAGCTTGAAGTTTTTATCATATGAAATATGGAGTAATTGGAAAATTTTGAACAAGGTGGAGGGCTTCAAAGTAATCTAGGAAGCTCAGCCCATTGTGTTCAAGTTAGTCTTTTTAAAATTTTATTTATTTCTTTATTAGAGAGAGAACACGAGTTGGGGGAGGGACAGAGGGACAAGCGGACTCCCCGCCGAGTGCAGAACTCAATGCAGGGCTCAATCCCAGGACCCTGAGATCATGTCCTGAGCCGAACTCAGATGCTTAACCAACTGAGCCACCCAGGCACCCCATGTCCAAGTTAGTTTTGAGCAGAGAGATTATGGGGATCAGCAGGGAGGTTTCTCTCTCTCTCTCTCTCTCTCTCTCTCACACACACACACACACACACACACACACACACAGAGGCAACCTTTATATCTAACTCTGTAACTCTATAGAGTAACCTTAGAATTAGAAATAATTTAAATGTAGCCCAGATAGAAGCTGGAATATACCCAACACTCAAAAAGTAACAGTTAAAAATTAAAATTTGTGACAAAAGCTCAAGTGTCGATTTTTTATTGTATGACTTTTCCCCCTCTTTCTTATCAAATATCTTCAAATATATATGAAAATTAACATCCTTACTGTACCTTGTTGGATGAAGGGAACTCTTTCCATCCCTAAATTCTCATCTCCAGGGTATCCTGTCCATGCCCTGGACAGCTCATTTGGGTTCCTGAAATAGAAGAAGAGTTAGGGGAATGCCTTTATAATTTGGAAAAATACTATTATTATGAAAAATGGCAAGAGTCTTAGAAAGTGGTTATAAAATTGAAAGCGAATGGAGATGAAATCAGAGAAATGCTCTGAAATTTTGAACAAGGTGGAGGGCTTGATACATGATAAAAGTATTCAGGACAAGCATAGTGATATAGATTTCAAAATTAGAAAAAAAAATAGGAGAAAGAGAAGGAGGGAGGGAGGAAAGGAGGGAGGGGAAGTTTTGGAGAAGGTGGAGAGGACATTTCAGGACATAGACCTATGGATCAAAGCAGAAAAGAAAGTACCCAAAGTGATCATGTCACTTGCTTTTTCCCTGAATGGGGCTATAGAGACTAACCCTAAATGAGGTAAAATGTCCAAGGGAACAAGGGCCGTGCTTTTGTAATTTGTTCTTTATTTCTGGGAGCTGACGGCAAGTCAAACTTATTTTAGAGTCCATGGTTATGAGATCGTTCCATCACCTGTCAATTACTAGCAAGCCTCACAAGTATTTAAGGGGTTGAAAGAACATGCAGTGAAACAAAACGGGAGTCTGAATGCCGTTCATCACTGCGGACGTTGCTCAGCTAATATTCTGCCTTTTTCCCCTGTTCACAGAACCGAAAGTAAGCTGCAAATTAGGCCGGTCTGCCTCCACATCAGGTGTGCCCCCTCCATCAGTTACTCCTCTCAGGCCAGCGAGTGACCTGCAACAGAGCCAGGTACCATCATCGTTAGCCAATCGTGATTGACTTCCTGTGATGCAACATGCCAAACGCTTCCACCTCTGTCTGTCGTGTGTTGCTGTAGACAACTTTTGCATTGGCTTTTATTTCTCTATGTGTGTATGGGTGGAGGGGGTGAGTCATGGCAGTCTGTGTTCTCATCCGAAAAGGAAAGTCTTTCTTCTCTGTGACTGGTGAAACTTTCTTTGCTGTTTGTTACCAAATCGTTTTTTTGTCTCTGGTTCCCATCATTCTGTAATATTAATGTAGTAAACTTGTACTCTCTGTATTGGCTTAGCGGTTATTTTTTTAACAATTCTTTCTCTCTTCCATGTCTTGTGTACTTTTATACTGTCTCTGAAAATTTATCAACATTTGATAAATTTACCTACTTTGTTTTATGTAGATTTCTTTTTAAATGTTTTGTCTACAACACTTGCACAGATGTTGTCAATGAATTTGTACATACCTTTTACCTCTTATCCTATTATACTGTAATATTTGTGGCCATTTTGCTTTTATTTCTATTTAGCTTGGAGCATGATTGTAAGACACTGTGAATATCGATGTCCTTATAAATATTCCTATACCAATTCATCTGGATTGAACATGGCAGCTAGTCTTCTTTCTTAGGCCATAAAGACAAATTGACCAACTAGATATTTACCAAAACTGTAGATTAATAAGGCAATCTTTAAATAAATGGCTTTCCTCTCTTATCCCAACAACATCAGAAATGTTCTCAGAAAGAGAATGTAAGTGTTTGTGCATGGTTAATAAGACTTCTATCATCACTTGGAGAAAAGAGACAAGAAATAAAGGCATAAACTAAAATATCATTTAATCCTTTACAGGAACAGAATGTTGCTCTGATGTTCATTTGGGGACATGGTTGTCTATGGGGAATTTAGTACGGGGAGAAATCATGACACATAAATGTCTCTCTATATCTCACCCAATAGAAATTCAGTACATCAACTTAATTTGTGAAGCTTAATTGTTGTTACTGTTAAGTATTGTGGGTGTTTAATAGGATAATGTCATCCTGGAGTGATTTCTCTCCGCTTCCTGGCTTTAATCTTTGCATTCATAAAACTCTTCTGAAATAGTAAATTATAAAACTAGCGATGGTACCTCCATGGGAGCTGTCCGTTACTGATTAGCGAATTACATATTCATCAATTATTTAAAATGTCAAGCTATTTTAAAAACATAACTAAGCAGAATAATTGCTTTTTTTTTTCTAATGGGAGACATGTGCTTTTTAGTATTTTGGTCTGGCTTAAATATGCACAGGATTTGATTTATGAATATATGAGATATCTATAAACACGAGAGATGAGAAGCTTCTCTCAAGGATATCTCAAGTGTCATTTAGAATTCCTTGCGTCTTAATTTAAAATGTTAAATGCTTCCATAACTCAATGTATCCAGCTCAAACATTTTTTGGGCAAAAAAGTAGAAACGATAAGACAATGGATTAATAAATAACACAATTAACCTCACCAAGATAAACTGCCACTTGAGATGATTTAAAGCTATTTCAAAAATATTACATTTACCAATATTTAAAGTTTAAAAATTTGGATACAGAAAGGAAATAAATTTAGCTGACTGTCAGAAGATTGCATTCACATAATCGATTTTCCAAAGACATGTATCTTGCTATTACCTTACCCTCAGTATCACAGAGTGGTTTTCTATTCTTTGTCTTGTTTTCCATTTTTCCTAATTATCTTTATAGTTGTTTCATCCTGAGCTCCTTTAACTCTCAATGAAAGCAGGTTCTTGGGGTAAACTTCTGGAATAAAAACAAGACACAATGTTTGTGCCTTTGCATTATCAACTCTTTGCTCACCTGATGAGATACTCCTTATTCTTGAAATATAGTAACATGAGAAAACCCCTTATGTTGCTTGCACACTGTTAGTTTCCCTACAAACCCACAGAAATCCTGGCACACATCCATAGGGTAGATGAACTGTCAGGGCTCTGAATTAGAAGGCGAACCTCTGAGGCTCTCCTCTGTAGCTTATGACCAGTTGTAGTATTCACCTATCCCTATATTCTGGAACTAAAGAGGTAAGCATGGCTCAGAAGACCCTTGCTTTGTACCCTTATGACCTAACTTTCAACTAAAGTCAGTAGCTACTTATTGAAGATCCTCTTCTCACCTAATTCACAGGCTCTTGACTGAGATGTGTCTCTAAGTAACAACCAGGATGACACTGCCCTTTGTTTGGTAATCCAAGGCAGTGTCACCTGTTGACTCTAAGAGTGAATATTCATACACTGACTCGATATTGCCTAACATTATCAAAAAATCACCCTCATCACTTCTTAAGCAGTTTTTCTGATACAAGGATTCCCTGCAATTATTTAAACACAGAATGCTTAATAGGAGATGAATCCACTTCTTACTAGGAAATCATGGAAAAACCACATGTTTCTTTAAAACAAACAAAAGCAATCACAAATCCCTAAAATAACTCCAACGGTGCTTATCAGCTGAGGAACTTGGCTTTAGGATGTCTGTGCCATTTCAGCCACATTAAGGGGCATTACCATTCAAAGAGAAGGAATTGTGTTTTCTTCTGATTGTTTATTCATATCTTAATCACTTTTCCGTTTCCTCGGTCCAAGTTTTTGACTCACCCTTACATGTCCTGGTAGGAGCTTTCTAAGTAGTGTTGCAAGAGGGGCATATGGAAGTGTCTGACATTGCTCCAGTGGAGAAGTATAGAGGTGTCCACAAGTGCCCCCACCCCCAGCCTAGGCCAATAATGATTGCCCACCCCCGAAGAGTCTAGAGACAGTCTTTACTGACTGAGCCACAGAGGAGCCTAGGACCAACAGTGACTGTCCACCATGAGCATTTCTGTTATTAAAAAAGGTCAAGATAACATTTGCTTGGTTTTGCAATCTTTGCGCCTCAGATAACTACAGCATACACAAGATTTGTAGAAATGTGTAATCTTATCTGACTGGAAGTTCAAACTATGTAAAAGAAAATGTAATGCTCAGGAAAGAAGTGAGTTGTAAAGCATTTAGAAGTATAATATTCTTTGAAACTTGGAGAGATGAAAACAATTTTTTTTTTCTTTCTAATTCACTCCAGAATAAGTAGATTAGACATGGGTCAAGACATGTCCTTGGAATTTTATTGCAATGCGGCCACATGTTTTGGCATTTGTCTTAAAGCAGGTCTTTAGAAATTAAACCGAATTTCTGTTCCTGCTATGAAAATGCTATTTTCTTTTCCTTAGTTATAAAAGTAAAACGGCATATAAGTCACATTGAACTTGGGGCACATGTAACTTTCTCTTTTTTTCTTCTGTAGTCAAGTAGAAAGCCATGTGTTCAGAAGAAAGGGTGTGACCCCTTCTGTAGACAGTAGAAAATGATGTTCATGTTGTTCCTCTGTATCTGGCTGGGAACAAGCCTACCTCTTGGAAGGTGACGTCCATTCCATTGGCGATGATACCATCCGTGGTCTTGCCATAGCAGGCCATAGGACAGAGCTAAAGCTCGTGGCCAGGGGAAAGCCATGCTTTCTCTCAGGAATGGAGCAGCTAGGGTGTGTCTCCACACAGAAGTGCCAACTTTCCTTGGAAAAATGTCCCAAAGAGTATTTGTATTTGTTTTTCAGGGAAGGAAGGAGATGAGCCACACACCCTCCACTGTAGGCACATGCTCACTTACACACCCCATTTCCATACACTTAGGCTCCTTCACACACGCAAGCTCTCACATACTCACACATACACGTACATACTTGCTCCCACTCACTCAGGAATGTACACACTTCACATTTGTTAAATAACAGACCCCCATGTGGAATCAGGGAATCACAAAGCGGTGATCACATCACATCACAGAATCGCATCACAATAACGGTGACCTAAGCGTTGACATGGAACTTCACCTTCTCCCTGAGGCTAGTTTATCCTTTGAAACTGGATTATCTCTGATTATCTTTGATCTTGGGGAAGGGTTAGGAAAAGGCTATCTGTAATTTCCTTGGGCCACATATTGTGAAGGCTGACAGACCTAAATCTCTTTAGAAATCTCACAGTTGCCTCCAAAGCCATTATCTCTTGTTTTCTAGGCCCTCCGTGCCAGGACAGATGCCTCCTCATTACCTAGGACAGGCCTCACCCCGGCTGCTGGCCAGGCCAGCACACCCAGCTCCTTTTAACTTGCCCCTTCAGGGTGATTTCTCAAATGTTTATTCCTTTCAGTGCCAGCCCTCTGGCCTCTTTCCAAGCTCCTAACATCCCCCTTCAGTTTGATGACCCTGCTGGGGCGTAATGAGAGCCAACCCTGGGCTGGCTGCAGAGTGGAACATGTTCTCTTTCCCCATGGATGCCGTAGCTATGTGTGCATGCAGGCATCCAGCCAGCTTCTCTAGATAACGGAATAATGTGTTGGGGTGTCCAAAGCTTAACACATGTCCAGCGTGTGTTCTGGCAGTACCTGGATGTCAAAAATTGTTTTTTAGATACCTGGAAAAAAGGAAGGTAAATCATTCAAAGTTAGGGATTAGGGATCAGTATATGTGATTCTGTGACAAGGGCTGTGCCTGATTCTGAGGCATACCTCTAATGGCCAGCACACTGTGTGAGACTCAGTGATCTTTAGCTGACTGACAGAATTTCTCTCCTGATAAACGTCCCTCTCTATAGATCCCTGAAAAAATGTTTTTCTCACACAATCTAATTTTATCCCTTTCCTTAGTTTCCTAACTCCAATGCAGTGGGATGTGTTGATTTGTCCCATAGCCTCAGTAATGCTTTGTCTTAAAGTTTTAAGAAGATCACTGCTCTTTCTCAGGATCTGTGTGAGTTCTGGGCTTTCATTTAGTTTTCCAGATAGTCAGAACATTTGCACATAAAACTTATAGGAGCCCAGAAAGCATAAGGAAGCTGATAGACAAAGGGAGAGTGAGTATATTGACATAAATGCTCAAACAAGGACATAGAGAGAAATTCTGTTTT